ATTATTAAAATGTATAAATAAATAAATGTATGTATAAATAAAATTTAGTTACACATAAATTAATCGTTTGTTTGTGTTATTTTTGTAAACATTATCAACAACAACAAAACAACAAAAAAACAACAAAAAAAACAACAGCATAAATGTATCAACAAACGTATCGCTCAGCATTCTGCAACTGGAGTTGCCACTAGTATATAATTATTTTCACTTTGCCACTTGCAGGTTTACCAATAAAGGTACTCACCATCTAGCGGTCAGAATATCATTCTCATCAAATTTTAACAGTGACTGAATCGTTCGAAAATTCGTATGATAATTGTAACTCATTAAAATCATAGTTTTTTGAAGCTATTTATATCTCAAGCGTCAAGCGCGCCAACTACGTACATGAATAAACATAAAACTAGTATCGATATTTATTTACTGTCTGCATTCCTTGACTTAACGTATAACTTTTTCGTCGCCTTTTAAATGAACGCAATTCAATGCAGACTACAGCAGTCAAGAAGAACATAATAAAATCGTAAAAAAAGGTAGGATGAAGTTTTAATGAAGCTTCACTTTAGCGAAATAAAAGAAATAAAATAAAATAAATAAAACGCATAAATCAGAAATACGTGGGTTCGAGCGTTCAACTATAATTGGATTAGCTCAGGAAAATCCCTAATTTTTTACAACGAAAGATATCATCGTCGGCGAGACACGACGTCAAGGACACAGGTACACAGAGCTGTACATTAGTGCGAATATACGCACAACTGGTAAAAATCCGTTCACGCGACTCGATAGCGCTCAGTACGCGAACGAAGGAAGACGTTCCTCTCTCGTGGTGCAGCTGCTTCGAGATAACTATACGCAGCGAGCAGCGTCGACCGAGTTGCCGCCGTGCGTCGAAGGCCATCGCGTGCGTGAGCACACGGCGCCCAATTCGGAGCAATATAATATCTCTCTCGTTTATATACGGGCACGGGTCGAGTAATATATCGCGCCGCAGTGTCGTAAGCTGCCTATGCTGTACTACTTGCTCTGTATATGGTAGTCGGAAGAGCTCGAGAGCGCGTATGGTCCATATTAAACACGCCTCGCAGTCTCTCTCTCCTCGCGTCTTTCATCAGCAAAGTTGGAACAATTTGTCAGACTTAAGGGTGAAGTATGACTAATTAGTTATCTTACCTCGTCATTATAGCAAACCGCTGCGCGGCGCAGCGGTGAGGCGGAGGCGGGGGCGGCGTATAATAGTGTGTCTGAGCCATTTTGCCTCTCTCTCTCTCTCTGTCTCGTGCGACGCGCCTATATAGCAGCTAGCCTATAACACACGCATACACACACACGCACACACACACATACCAAGATGGTATGGAGATAACTCCACAACTATACGAAACTTCTCAGTTTTCAAGGTGCACGCAACTTCAACTATAGAAAGGGAGAAGAGAGAGAGAGAGAGAGAGGAACAAAGCGTACCCTCGATCGACGCCTTTATGCCTCCACGCTCGCGCTCGCGAGGAGCTCGAGTCAAGATGCGCTGATACACACATACAGACATATATGTACGAAGTATGCAGTAGTACACTGCTATATATACGATGTGCGCCAAGCTAGAACCAGCCAGCAGCAGTTGGATATAAACTCAGCCGAAGCTCGGCGCGCCGAGACTTGAGTTTCATTAGACTTGGCGTGTACTACTGAAAATAGCGAATATATGCCGCGCGCCTCGTTTGTCTGCCCGCTATATATACTCCGCTCCGCGCGCTGGGATATATTTGAAGTTTCGAATCATTACCCGGCGTGTACATCCCGCCGCCGTGTGCAATGCGGAGCTCATAGCTGATCTCTGCGAGCTATGAGTTCGCTGCGGCTCCCTTGCAATGTGCCAGAATTGCAGCAGCAGCAGCAGGCCTGACTATCGGAACGAGAAATCTTGCGCGTACGTTTCTGAATCGAGTGTTAATGGATTAAAATATTATGTTTGCGTGCTGTACTCGATTTTTAAATTATTTTTGGATTGCCATAATGAATATGTCCATCTTGTTAACTTGAAAGTTTTCGTTGATGAAATCTTGACATTTGTTTTCTTCTTTTTGTTCAACTTGTTTTACGGTTTTTCTTGAGAAACTTTAACCAAGAATATTTTCAAATTCGAGCATGATGTTATTAATAAAAAAAAGCTACGCGAAAAAGCAAAAATATAAATGAAAAAACCCGACGAATACGTATAATATTTCTATGATACTCATGTATTCGTATATAAAGCAAATTAGTGCACTCGGAGAAACGTTCGCAAGTACATCTCCACAAAGCAAACGAAAAATTACGATGTTAGAAAGGTCTAACATTACTGCCTGCCTGGGCTGCTATATTCGTATATAATACATTTTACCGCACTCACGGCGTATGAAAGACGAATATATACATGAGCGGAGAGAAAGAAAGAGAGAGAGAGAGAGAGCGAGGCGCATAAAAGACGGGAAACAAGACGAAAAATAGAGACGAAGGAGAGTCGTAAAAGGACCTAATCAAGGGTGTCGAGAGCTTTTCCAGTCTGCTTTGCGGTGCGTACACACGTATACAGAGAGATATAGACTGTGTGTTGTGCCTGCCTGCCTTAAAGCCACGCACCTCGGTTACATGCTATAGATGTATCTACAAAGGTGGGATACACCCACACGCATAGACGCGCAAACTCTTGCGACATCCTCGGTGCTTATCGTGTTTATGGAGGACATAACATAGCTCATAGAAAGTACGCAGCTTTCTTCCTTGCCTTTTTTTTACACGTTTGCTGCCTCACTCTCTTCCTCTCTCTCTCTCTCGAATTAAGAGGGCTAAAAGCTGCATCACGAAAATCTTATACGGACGCTAGAGAGAGAGAGAGACGAGCAGTATTTCCGCGTGCTGTGCGCGCCTCGACGCGCGCGCGGTAATGGCCGCCGAGCGCAATGCAGTACACACAGCCAGTAGTAGCAGCAGTAGTGGCGTGTAATGAGCTAAGTAAAGTCAAGTTAAGCCCATGAAAAGCTGCGCAGCTTATAACTTTCTGTGTGACATAGCAACATTACACAATTCGCGAAATTACGATAAGTTACGACGCGTACACGACTTACTTACACGTGCCCACCGTCGCGCGCCAAAGGGAGAGGAAAATATCGTCATTTTCAAAGCTCATTAGCGAGTGCGATGAAAATTAAAGCGATGGATCAATTTTGATATAGTTGAAAAGTTACAAATATTTTTTTATGAATTAAATATTCAATTGTATCGAATCGTATCATATAGCGATTTATTGGATAGCGATATACTTTAAGAGTTAACAGTCCGGGTATGTATCTTTTTTGTAATTATCAATAATAATTAGATCATCTTTAGAGCAAGAGATGAGGACGTAACCGGTGATAGAAAAATCTATCTATGTTGTGGGTGATATCAGAATCTCCCAAGATATTTTGGCTTTTTTTACATATTTTAATATTTTCTTATATCAAATTTCAGTCACCCAACTTTCATCATTTCCATTTAAATTTCAAAACCGGTCTTTGACTTATACAAATTTTCTTACTTTGCCATTTGCAGGTGTACAAAATAAAGTACGCGCCATCTAGTGGTGAAGCCATACGTTGCAAGCAAAGTAAATAATTCAACCGAACTTTATTTTCATAAAAAATTTGGAAAATTAAAACTGAAAAAATTCATCAGCCACCCGCAACGAAATGTTTGACACGAAAATAATTGTTTACAGAGATTTTAGCTCTTGCCAGCCGACGATGTTGCATCGTGCTTTTGACGCGTTTTTTGATAAAATATAAAAGTAACAAAGATTAAAGCTACAAAGAGGCACGAGCTAATGTAATTTTGGCGTCATTGTGGCCCGCGAGTGTGTGTTTACAGACAAACAAGGCAGTGGCTCACGCACTCCATCGCTGCTCGTACACAGAGCGAGCGTACACATAAGCGCGCGCGCTATAAGCTTGTGTAAATGCACTTAAAAACGAGCCGCATTTGCAGACGCGCGCACCGCATCTCACAAAGATGACAGTATACGTGAGTGTGCGTATACATCCCACGCGTGCACACACTTGAATTCGGTTGAGTACACACACACGCGCAGTCGTGGCACACGGATGCAAGCGCGGAAGGGTTTATAACGTAAGGCGCGCAAAACCGAAGAAACTTGGGCGCGAGGCCTGCAGTCGCGACGACTCGAGACTCCGCGTGCGTACCTCCCCTTAGGTAATCGTTGCCAGCTTTCTCTGTCTCTCTCCCTATCTCTCTCTTTGCGCTCTCCCGCGTGCACGCATAATTTATGTATAAGCTAAAGTGGCGTTCCACCACTAAATTTCCCTTATTGTCGTGCGTGTGCGTAAGCGTATACATATACCCATGCTCTTTTCTCTCCCGCGCTGCGCGCGCTCTCGACTCGACTGCTGGCTGCACAAACACACAAACGCGCGCGCGCGCGCGCAATTTTCCGCCCAGAAACTTCGTCTCAATTAGGATTCTCGCGCGGCGCGCGCTCACACATATTTGTGCGCGCCTCCGAATTTAACAAAAGGGCTACCGAAGGTTGAATACGTATATCGTTGGCTCTCTTTGCAAGGGTATGTATAAGTGTGTGTGTGTGTGTGTGTGCGCTCCAAAGCTATAAGGCTAATGCGTTTGGCGTCTTGTATAGAGAACACACCTTAGACTATTGAACAGCGCGAGATAACATCGAACCTGTGGGGGTACGACTTTTGAAAGCTCGATGCTAAGTTTGCGAAGGCGTACAAGAAAAGCGAATATATACTATCGCTCGTTTGATTCTTTGTTAACTTCCCAGCTGCTATTTAAATAAAGCAGATTTACTTACAGAGCAACTTTGAATGATCTAATACAAAAGATTGATTTTAATGTTTGGGCGAAGGAGAGGAGTGCAAATGTAAACGAGAAAGATTTTTAGCTAAATATAAAAAATTTTATTTATAAAAAGAACTTATAAAAAACGCCTGTCGCTTAACAATTTACAATTTTGGCAGGTGATCGCCGACGGCTTGGAAACCGTTCTCATCGGCGACGTATTTGACGGAGTAGGTCTTGCCATCGTCGGGGCTGACGTAGCTGAAGGATCCGGTTTGGCGGAGGAGGACGGTCTCTTCGCCGGAGCGAGCCTCGCGGACTACCTGGACGTCGGCGCTCTCCTCGCGGCGCTGGCCGTCGCTGAGCTCGTAGGCGAACTGGTATTTGCCGAGACCGTCGTTGTTGGAGGCCAGTTCCTTGACCAGTTGGACTTCTTGGGCTGGGGCGCCGCGTTTGTGCAATTGTGGCAGGGCAGAGGCGACGGCCAGGAGGGCAACGAAAGCGAAGATCTGCGAAAAGAAACATTTTTATTTAATTTCTAAAAATTTTTTGTTAATAAGCTTCAAATTATAAGTATGAGAATGAATTTTAAACGAACGATAAATAGTGCTTTATTCTATATTTTAAATAACAACAAAAATTGAATAAATGTTTAAACTTTAATTTAATTTGCTTACGGTTTTCATGGTGATGGTTTGTTTTGGACCTGAAGGCTCAAGCTTGGGAGGAAGATGAGTTCGGATTGTGCTGACTTGGAGAGTAGCTTCCCTATTTATACTGGAACACTCTGATTCTCCCTCTACTGAAAGTTCATTTTTTGTGCACGTGATAAGCTTATGACTCCGCTCACTTTTTGGAAACCTTCGAATTGATTAATTTTTATATGTTTCACTTGATTTTAGTAAAAATCTGAAATATATAAAAACGACGCTTGTATCACGCAATCGTTAAACTCGTTATATGCATTCTGTATCTTCTCCTCTCTTTAACAGCTATATTATTTTCTGATTTACAGTTCAGATACAAAAGGTGAGGTTTAAATTCTTTTAAATAAAATCGCCGATTTTGTAACCTCTCGCAGTGGCCTTTGTCGCTGTATTTTAATATTATGCAAAGAATGCTACACAAAAACTGGATTTGTTCGTGAAAATTATAATGTTAATGTATTCGTAAAACTAGATTAACTTCAATATTGTACACGATTTTTAAAGAGTTCAGTGCTCTATTAGTTAGTTAACTTTTCTTACTTGGATTTCTAATTCTTTTTACAGGAAAATTTGAGTGATAAAAATTAAAATACTAATTAATAATAAATACCAATAACAATGATTAATTATGATACTGATTATAAAAAGAGCGAAATCAGCTCATTATTAGTGAAAAATTTACGTATGATAATTTTGACAGCACATATTTGAAAGTCCTGTAAAAACCTACAAATCCATCGTCTAGGAGTGTTTCTTCAAGTTCTCTTACTCAACTAGTGGTAGAAATAGCGAAAAAAATAAAAACCAAATTTCGATTCATTAATTGTTAATAAAAGTTGATGAATAAATAGATCATTCTCGTGATAATTGATATAGCCTGAAAATATTTGTAAAAAGCTTTACTATATAGTTAATTTAAACCTCGATCCAACTTTTTTTGACCGAACACTTTGAAGTTTACTCATTTTTCGCTCAGGTATGGCAAACGTGATCGGACGGCAGTGTACAAAAAAATTAAAACTAGAGAAAATATTAATTTTCCTTTGATTTCTGCCTCTAACATATTTGCGTGTAATAGATGCATAAATTCATTGTATTGGTTTATATTTGTTTCTATTGAGCACAAACTGAATGAAAAGTTGTAATTTTACGCTTCAGTCTGTTCATTTCGGAATTGAAATGTGATAATTTTACTTACTAATCCTTCTTTCAATTTCTATAAATCTTCAAACACGATAAGATATTTTATTGTTGTTAATCCTTTTTTTCTTTTCTACTCTTTTGTTTTTTGACTTTGCTATTTTTCACTAGTAATTATACGTTTTCTATTAATTTAATAGCCATAAGGAAAGATTAGAGAAGATTAGACATCTCACAGCATTTGCGAATCCATGAAAAGGGAAAATAAATTGTATCAATAGTGTGCTATACGTACGTACACAGCGCAGTAAGTAATTCTCGCTCTGATCAAAATCAATCGAAAAGTTAGCGTAGTTCAATTTTACTGTGATCTAAATTAGATGCTTTACGTGCTTCAATATCAGCTGCTACGCACGGATGGAATGCTTTTCCAGCTTCTTTGTCGTTCGAGTAAGATTATCTTGTAGGACACGAAGTCAGTGATCAGTTGCAGTAACTTATCTGCTTTTCGCTCGGCAGAGAATTAAATAATCGGACGCAAAGTAAACGAACGATTAATCAAGAAAATCATAAGACTTTAAATAATTATTTCCTTTTCTTGCTTTTTCTTTTCATCATACATTTATATTCTAAATATAAATAATTGAATTTATTCATAACTTGTTTCTGTACTCATAGTATGTTGACAATTATCGTTGTATCATGTTTTTTAATTTTGTTGTAAAAAATTATATGCACTTCCTAAAGTTGTACTTCAAAAATCATTTTAAAAATCATATTTTAGAATATCTATGTATAAAGACATAAAATAAAGTTTCTTAATATTTACTCTCGAAAATTTGAGAAAATTTATTTAAAATAAATTTCTTTAACTGCTTCGCCTTCGAATGAATGTTACTACCAGCTCTTAGCAAAGTCACTAATGGTAATTTTAATTGTTCTGAATAATTTTTAAGAATTGAATTCATGTTTGAATTGAAGGTAAAGTAGTTTGCTGCTTGGAACTTTCAACGCGTTTATTCTCCACAGGGGGCAGCACATAATGGATAATACTTTTTATTTACAGTATATGTAAAACGAGTTTTGTTTAAAATTACATCTTTTAAGTTATATACGAATATATTTTGTTCAAAAAAATTAAATAAAGTAAACATTTAGGGAATAACTATTGAGCGTAATACAACATTTTTGAAGGAAAATAGATTTTTAAATTTTCTTAATATATTCTTGCTGTATTAGCAATAATTGATGCGAATCTCAAATATGTTTTGTTGTTACGGAGGTTTAGGCATTAGAAATTGGTAGTTTGATTGTTCAGAAGTAGATAAACAGGCTCTGCTTATTCTACTTTTAAATTTACGTTTATAATAAGTATATATGATGGGATAAACTATTAAGTTTCAAGTACTAACTATTCTGTAAAATATTTCGACGATCATGTATTTAAGAGTAATACAAAAATTTTTTGAAAAGTGATTACATTCAATAATTTTTCAACGTGCTTCTCATTTCTTATTCGGATTAAAATATGGAGTTCGAAAAAGTAAAATCAAATAGTTAGTTTTAATAATAAGTAAGTTTTAAAACGGTCATAAATCAATCAAATGAAATAATCAAAGTGTATTTAAATACGAGTTTTTATTTAGATAAATGTGAAATTTTAAGTACAAGTTTTAGAAAAAAACCGTACATATTAGTTGGTAACACATCACTAAATCGTTATGTTCAAATCGTGATACGATTATTGTACGTACTCATGGCGCTAAAACATTTTTTTATAGTCATAAAAAAATTCAAATAATTTCAAAACAGATTCTCCTTACCACGCTGAATACTATTTCTAACATGGAGAATTAATAAAAGATACACAAATGATCAATTAGCAAAATACGCTGCGAAGAAAAATACACTTGCTTTTAAGATTGCAGAATTGCGAGAAAGGTAATTTATTTTTATTCAAAACAGAGTTTGAAGCTTTCACAAGTTTTCTTAAAAATGACTGATCAATTTATTCAATTGCTATATGAAACAAAATTCAGGAAAGATAATAAACTAAAGCGCTTAGTACAATAAAAAAAATTAAAAAGCTAAGAAGTATACAAAAAAAAAAATAAGAAAAAAATGTTCACGTTTGTTCTACTTTAATTATCCTAATTGATTTTAAAAATAACAGTTTTCACTCATTTCATTTACTCAATCCATTCGACACATTGTAAATTATTTTCATTCATTAAAAACAGTAATAAAATAATAATAAAAATACAAATAAAAATGATAATCATAATAAAAATAATAATAATTTAGATCGTTTATGCATTATTCAAAATATTAACGTAATAAGTAGGTCAACTTTACAAAATAATTATTAACCAAGAAATCATCGGAATACAACATTCAAACCTGACAGTATTCATGACGTTTCGGTTATTTTGTGAAATCCGAATCAGTAACGTACAATTTTGATTATTATTTATTATTATTAAAAAATTAAATTTCTTATTTCTTTATGTACATATTTTCCACAGAGAATATTTTTCAATAACGTTTTAATTTTATATGTAGAATTTTTTAATTGTATGTTACTCTAAATTATTGTTTCTACAATTTTATCGATGATTTAAACGACTAAAAAATTTTTCAAATGAAAATCAGAACGGTCAGAGAGACAAGTAAATTTAATATCGATGGACAAGAAAACGTGTACATAACATAATACCAAAGAATGGTAAAAATACCATCATTAAATGAACGATCAAGAAAAAAATCTCAATTTTTTATACAAACATTTAAACTACATTTAAATTTTCAAACAAACTCTTTGTTTTTACTTATTTTATGTAGTATTATTTGTAGCCTAGCAGGCCTTCAATTTCATTTTCTGAAGTGAAATTTCAATACTTTTTTACATCATTTTTACAATCTAAAAATACATTCGATTGGTAATTTTCTCAATATCCTTATTAGACTAATACAAATTTCACAAAGTAAATATGTAAGACGATTCGTACGCATTACATGAACAGTCGTTACTCAGTGCCCTATTTTTAAGATGCCGCTCATTTTACACTTTTGCACCGTTTTAACATTCGCTACATAGTTTCTTTACCCCCAATAAAGCAGATTGCATGAATATTTGCTTTTACAAAACATAGCCCTGAGAACATATTTGGTTCGAGCCATTTATCAGCAAACTGTCTTGAGGGATGCACAACATCGACTTTTCACTGTTTGCAGATGGCACAACCATGACCTTAGCCTGGCGATCAAATCTGCGCAGTCCGTTCTTGTATCTTGACATTCACCGACCTCTGTTCCTGAATTTTTTAAAGAAAATGTATAATTTAGTAAATTGAAAGTACAGAATGTATAAATTTTTTGTAATCGAAGATAAACTATTTATGAATATAAAAGGTATTCATAAATAAAAATAAAAGTAGATAAGATTGTTTTATTATACTTTTGAATTTGAAGAAATACTAGTGTTAGAGTGTAAATGAAAATTGTAAATGGTATGAAAATAAATTCTGAATAATTTCTAGAAATTTATTGTAAAGCCCTGAAATCACTGAAAATGTATTTGATGTTATTTATTTCCTGGCATCAGCATCGGCTAAATAATTAAAATTAGTAATCCGTTAGCGAACAGTTAGAGAGTATTTAGTCTAAATACAGTTTGAATAGCTAAAAATGTTTTTAAAAATGTCGATTATTATAGTACTGTACAGATCACACCATCACCTTCTTAGCGTTTATTTCAACCACCTAATTATTTTTTAAGAAGATCAGCTCTTTATAAAACCCCTATTATCAGGTTTTATAAATAAAGTTACTATTATTATCATGCTCTAAATTTAAAGAAAGTAAATCACAGATTGCAATTCAAATGCCGAAAATTTGTATAATAACACAAATTTCGACGAAATAAGTCTAGAAAACCATTGAAGATAGAATTAATGAATATACATTCTCATTAGGGAAAATAATGAATGAATTTGATTGAAAATCAAAGTTTCCATTTTGCCAAAAAAGTGAATAGTAAACATAATTTTTAAAATCAAGTGATTTAAAAATATACATTAATGTTCGAATATTGTAGTGAAGTGTTGAAAAGTAATGTATCAAAGTATGTGACATTCGATTTTTTTATTGAATGATCAAAGAATATTGAAGCCTCGAAGAAGAACCAAGAATAATATTTAAAGTTTTTTATGATAAAAAAAATCCTGTACATAAGTATTGAGAAACGTGATAAAAGAATAAACCATGGAAAAATAAAAGAACTTTAAGAAATAGCCGAAGTGAAAAGAAGTAATGAAAAACCGTAGAATCGAAGTAATTGGCCTTAAGTCATCGCCAAAAGTATGCTTTTGTGACATTTAAAATCTTACCAAGAGTATAACTTGGCTGCGTAAACTTGGGGCTCGTCCAGGCGAGCGAGCTTGGTGGTCTAACCGTACTCTGATAATTCAACGGCATGACGTGAGAATTAGGAAGATTGTAAGAAAAGGAAAAACCTTTTCCACTAGAGATAGTTGAATGATAACTTTTTTTATAATAATCGATGTTATTTTGATAATTTCCATATTTCTGTTTGTTTTGGTCATCCGTTATCAAATTACTTTCGGTTGAGTAAACATATTGTTTATAAAATGGCGCCGGAGAAGGCGTGAAAAATTGTTTTGCAGTTGTTGTAATGACACTCGGCGGAGGAGTAACCGTTGTTGAACTCAAAGGTGCGAGTGTCGTGTATTGATTTCTAAGCTCATTAATACTGCGAGTTGTACCAGACCATTGATACCTGTGTAAGATAATTTTCTAAGTATTATAAAAATTCCTTTACTAGTGAATATTTATACAGCCATAGTCACGTGGCTGTATGGATAATTCAATTTTCACCTACATATGTCATTAATATTTAAAATATCAATTGGTACCATTAATAATAAAAATATTAATATTAAAAATCATATCAAAATTTAAAAAAAAAATTAATTAAATTTTAATTTTATAAGTAATTCTAAATTAGTTTTCTAATCGGTTAGTATTTGAATGGATCATAAGCCTCACACTACAAAATCAAGATTGTCTTGTAATAATGCTAATGTTTGGGGTAATTTAAATTACTCTTAAAATCAATTAAAACTATAAATATTTGTATATTTTATACATCCTTTAACACGTTGATAGACTTATTTTTTATTAGACGTTAAACTGCTTATTATTTTGATTCTGAAATATTTCTCTTTTGTAAATAAATTTTCTACACACTAATTTTACGTAGTTGCAACATTTTTTACAGGTAAATTTTTTCAATTCGATTGAGTAATTAATACATTATTATGTAATAACAAGTGTGTGAAGCACCCTCGCTATGCCTGACTGAAATCAACCTCTAGTTAAGTCATTTTCCTCACACAATACCCTCACTCTAATACATTTTTTTGGACGAAACTATTTATTCGCTCTAGAGTTTAGTAATTTTTGCTGCGTTTATCGACGATTGTAACTTGTGAATGATCAACTTCCTTTTTGCATTTTTGTTTAGCGCATTTTCATTGTTTTATTTAATTCAGTACAGTAAATAATATTTCATTATGTAAATGTTCTAATAAACCATATCACATTATAAAATATAATTAATTGTTAAGTAATGATGCAAGTATCCGATTTAAAACAAATAAAATAATCATGAAATTATATTATTTTTAAATTTCATTTCGTTTTAAAGTGTTTCACGAAGATTCAAGCGAGTAGCAATTTTTAACCTCATTATAAAAATTTGATACCGAAACGGAAACATACATACTTTCATAAAACGTAGTCGTAGATAGCTTATTATTAATGGAAGCTTATTTATTTAAATATAAAATTTTAAAATGCTATTTTTACAATTACTTCAAAAACGTTCATATTTTCATAAGTAAAACAGTAAATATTCAACATTTATCTGTTCCCTTATATCTTTGTAGTTTAAATCGAAATAAAAAATAAATAAAAAATTAACTTAAAAATATTTTATTGGCGTCGATGAAAGATCTTCAGGAAAAAAGAGGTTTTGGGAATTTAAGGAAAATGGGTATCCGGAAAATTGGATAGGGAAAAATGACTGGGAATCTTATATTATACAAAAACGAAAATACATATATTCTCTTACAGAGTAATAACGATCAAACTTTTATTAACATTGAAATATTTGAATTAATAATGTAGACACAATTAATAACTATAACTATGCACTATTTTTAAACACTGAACATTTTTTTTCTTAAACACTTGTCACTTTTCCACAAACATTAGTTTTTTGAAACATTAATAACACACGAGGAATACAATCCACATAGCATTGGTTACAAATAAACTACAAATTTAAGACGACATGTATATTTTTGACTAGATAGATTGATTTCCTAATGTGTAAAAGATATTTTGAGATGAATTTGTAGCCTGCAGTGGTCCTCTTCTGTATGCTGTTCTTGTGATTCGGTTTTACGAATGATATTTTACAATAAGGGTTTCAGGGCTTTCGAATTGTGGTGATGCAATGATGTAAAGAGGCCAAATGTATATATTTTAAGAAATAAGTGACAAATATTTCAGGAGTCATGAGTACGGGCTAATTCACATTAACAACAAAACTTCAGTGTAAAACATTTCTCTTAAAATATAATTTAATATCTAGATTTTGTGGATTTTTTACATAACGCACTTGATTTTGTAGTATATAAAAATGTCATTCACTCGTTAATTTGATAGCTAATTTTTTAAATTTCTAATTTGTACTACTAATATAATTTATAATTACAAAAAATAATATACAAAAAAATACATGCTTATGTTAAGATATATTTACATTCCGTATTGATTGCAGTTCAATTGCGTAAAAAAAATTTTTTTTCACACGCAAAATAAGCAACTTTTGCTTGAATAACTGATAGGTTACCTGTATTCAGTCGAGGTATTATTATATGTTGATCGAGCGAAGGAGTCTTGCCGCACGTATGTGGGTATGTTTTGCGTGTAATCAGGAATGATATTTTCATGCTCAGCAACGCATTTTCCATTTAAGCAGTACTGTAATTAAAAAGTACCGCAATTTTTACGTTAAATTCGATCAAGTAATTTGGCAATAAAAAATTTCTGTATCATATACATCTAAAAGTTACAGAAATTAGATGCACTTACTTGACCGTCTCCGCAAGGTGATCCCTCTGCAGCTGGCCTGTACGCTACGCAGTAACCAGAAGTTTGATCGAAGCAGAATAGTTGAGCGCAAACTCTTGCATCATACTGCAAATGAAAAAAATTGAAACGGATTAGCACATTGATATTGAACGAATTTATTTTATGAAATGATCAATATTTAACTTTTTTTTATCATTTTCTTTTTACAATCGTGTAATAAGTATGAACACATTTTAAATGGCATAAATAGGCACTTAGTTCAAAAAATTTCAGACCAGTTTTTAACCACTTTAAATTTAATAATATCACTTCAAGCTTCACCACTAGATGGAGCTTACGATTATCTGTAAATCTACTAGTGGTAAAATAAAGATAATTGTATAAGTCAAAGTACGATTTTAATATTTATAGTATTTTCGTATTTTTTGGCAGGGTGTTTGTATGTGAATGCACTTACAAAACAAGCTTTGGTTCCTCGATCCTTCCGACACTGTGCGTCGAGAGATAACATTTTTCCAGGAAGTACTCTGGGCAGTGCTTCATCTTCGTGTGGAGCGTTGTAAAGGCAAGTAGCTGTATCGCCACTGAAAAATTCAATAAAATCCATCAAACTCCGTTTTTGGTATTAGGATCTTTTAAATGATATAATTTGCAATGAAAAAACTTACTTCAGAAAATGATGGAATGATTGTACACTGCACGAAGACCATCTAAAGCCTTTTTCTGTATGTCTAAGATCACTCATTATGTAACCGTCCTCCCATCGACATTTCTGTGCTCCAGGACCACCAAGATAGCTAGGGGGTGGAGATCCATCATGCACAGCTCCGAGTCTGAATTAATGTAAATAATTGGTCAGTTTAAATAAAAATTTATGAAAATTAATCTCAAGCATGTTTACTTACAAATGGCCAACTTCATGGGCAGCGACTATGATTCCACTGAAACCGCCGGTGTCTTCAATGATAGCGACGGAATTGACTTTCTCAAGACGTTTGTTGACCACGCAAGCTCCTCCAACGTAAGCGAATCCTAATAAAAATAATTGATAAGTCGATTTGATTTAAGATTTTGTAACGGTTGATTTAAATTACATTTATTTTCAACTCTAATGAATAAATACTCAGGTTACAAATAAATTTAGCTTGAAAGCTCAATTATAAATAACTGATTATAGATAAGTACTTTTAATTATTTTCTGAACCTTAAATATGGATCAAAGCTAAATATCTTTATAACGATTTATAAAATATCGCTCAATGAAAATAAGAAAAAGTACTTATGACTCTCTGTTGTCTGGTTAAAAAGTTAAATTCAATTAATTGTTGTTATTTAAATTGTAAATAGATGTTATTTTTAAAAGTTATAGCAAAAAGCTATTAAGTAAAAGTAAATTATAAAAAATCAGTTGAGCGTTAGGTCAATTGCCTCGTAGTTATTTTTAAAGCCTTACAGTTCAAAGCAAGCTATAAATTAAATCTTGTAAGTTTTCAACTACTTGTGTTAATTTTTTTCGGATATTTTTACTAAATTGTAATTGATGGTTAATTTAAATAATAATGAAATTTGTCTGTAGACCTCTGGACTATGATTTGAATATTTTTTAATGTACAACAATACAATGTTAAATCAATTTCTCTAAGAATCTTTTCACTCGAATAATTAAAATGTACATAATTCCCAGTTATCATTATTAAAAACTTACCGACCTTACGACAAAAGAGAACATGGAATTTGCAAAAATCTCCTAATTATATTATCAGTTCAAAATATTTTTAAAAATCAACTTTTGAAGTCTCTTAAACTCTGATTTACAAATAGTCTCATATAGATCCTATATAATATATGCTTAATCGTGTGGGAATATTGAAGTCAGTGTACAAGAAGAATACATTTTTAAATACATTTTGAAAAATATCTACTGAATTTTTTAACGAAAAAAAAAATATTAATTTGTAAAACCAATCAATATTCCTTTATACTTTGAATAAAAATTTTCAGTAGAAATTTCATAAAATATTTAAGCATTCTCATTTTAGCACTGATCCTATCATCACCTTACAAAAACTGAAGTTTTAAAAATCAGTTTGATAAACCCATATATATTTTTTACTTATTGACATTTGCTCGATTATTTCAATTAAATTATGCAGGCAAAGAATATAGATCGTAGTCAATTCTTAAAAAATTGAAAGATTTACATTTGTAGAACCATAATATAAAAAAACCTTAAGTAAATAGTAATTAAGCATAATCTTTCATAAATTGCAGACAGTGCAGAAATGAATTTGAGCAGAAATTAGACACAATAGAATAAAATTTGTCAAGTACAAAAAGATTTCAAATTATAAGATTTTTCGTGTGAAATCAAAAGTGTATTCTGCAAGCTCGAAGAATTTAGACTTTTATTCAAAAGCTGAAACTGCAAAACTCATATTTAAATTGATTTGAAACGATTAAAAACAAAGAATTTTGATATTTTTGTTGGAAATGATGGTGTGCCTCTACAAAATCTTTGAATATCTACGTTAGCTTTAAAAATGAGATTTGCAGTTGTTTGCGCGACAGAAAAAAGATTTTCTTTCAATTTTGGCAGGAATTATAATTAACATTTTTAAGATTTGCATTGATAAGGTGTCAATAAATCATCTTGAAAGAAGAAGAGCTTTAAGCCAGTATTCAGATCGTCACTTGTTGATGCTTTAAAGGCGCATCATTTTCAAACACTTAAACTCTTAAAAACGAACGTACCTGCAGTTCCTCTATTGCATACTTCGTTCGCGTACTGGCGTCTGCACATATCTAATCTGCAATGCAATAATAAAACAACCTCTTTTATCATGACAACTTAAATTTCAATCTTTTTAGACCGCTCAGATTCGAGTGTCACGGGACAGATCTGTGAGCACATGTTCAATCAAAACGTCAAATGTTTGCAGACTTCTTGATGCGACTGAACTTTTCCTCATTGAACTCAGCAGCAACATTTTTTTGTAATATTATACTTATGACTAATATTTCCTTTGATGAATACTTATGATAATAATGATAAGCGTGTAGAAATGATATACAGCAGAAGAATCATGACATAGAGAACGATTCTGACTATGAATAGTGACACACATATAGTATGCGTTACCCCTGACAAAATTTCGTAATTGTCGTATGAAATTTTGAACCTAATGTCTAAACGAGAAATTTAACTAAAATTTGTGTGGTGTATTGTTTTTCTAAACTAAACGTTTTTTGTTAATTAAGTGCAACTGTACATCAATTTATGACTGTTCTACATAATCGTTAAAAAATCCTGTAGCAGTCATAAAATGAAATTAATTTGTGCTTTGCATTATTTGATTAATCCTACGCAGAGCTACAAAAACTACCCATAATGTTGCACGTTTGCGATAATTCGGATTTTATCAAGCTTTTTGAAAGCCCATCAGTCAGTAATGCCAGAAGAAAATTTTCAAACGACTCCATTAAGTAATTGACTATAAATGAAGATAAAAAAGTAAACAAATTAGAGCATCTTTTGCTCTTTATTCTTTTGTACAGACATGTTCAACGTACTGATGATTCAGCCCCAATGGACTTTCACAATGCGTGATCCGAATCCACAAACTCGACTCTACGTGAAAAGCGATTTTCATTATTTCAGACTTCATTCCACTTTTTTCCGTCTAATTTTTTTTTTGTACGAATTAATATACAATGCACGTAGTCAAATAGAAAAGAAAATTGGCACGTTGTAAACGTGAAAAATTTGGTGCAAATCGTTAAATGAAAATCACGTCTCACTCCACTATGTTCCCGTTTTTATATGAAACACTACACAGTGATAATTGTAATAAGTACTTTTAATAGATTATGAGATTAATGTGTCTACTTGATACCCAACTACTATTAAATATTTTCAATAAAACATACAAAATTACTAATCGAGTTAATAATTCGATTAAAAAAAGTAAATAATTTAAAAGCATGATCGCCATATAATAAACCATACCCGCTGTTCCCTTTGTGCAGCGGCCGCCTTTCCTACGACGGCACATATCATACCTGTTTTTTGAAAATAAAAATTTGCACAGTATGAAGTCAATGAAGTGCCTCAATATAAAGTTTTAATGCATTCTTATATACTTGAAAAAATTCCTGGGTGGATGTACTGTTCAGATGAAATAATTTGAAAAGTGTAATTCGATGAGAAAATGCAATCAAGGTATTTTCTCGTGCACACATGGACATTTTTTTTTTATAAACACATTAATCAGAAACAGAAAGTGACAGAACAGTAAGCTTATGTGCAGCTTGGATTGTCTTCTTAATCTTTCAAATGGTTCAAGATCGATTTTTAAAAAATATGAGTCTCTCGCATTCGATATTAGTTATCTTAGTAAACCTCAAGAAAGTTAAGTAGGACAATGTAATTTGCAAATAGACGAGTGAATACAAAATTTTGAAAAATGATTTTTTCGGAAAAAAAGAACAACACAAGTGTAAGTGATGCTGCATAAATGAAAAATGAATATAGATAGAAAAAATCTCAGCGCTGTAATTGAAAATCATTAATTGCTCGCGGCGACTGAGGCGCAATAAAAGTTCGGGCACACTCACTTTGTGACAGCGACAGCTATGTCGTAGACCGGCAGTCGTCGCTCCCTGTACAGATATTTGCCCATGTCGGTGAGCGCAGCTGCCGAGTCGATCGCGTCCCGACCCACTCGATTTCTTTCCAGGTACGGCGTGGCATTTTTCGCCTGCATATAATGATACGATTGAACGATATTCTCATACTTTCAATGATAAAAAGCAGGTAAATTGACTTACGCGTGAAATGATGATTCCAGCGATACTTATGCGTATTTTTGGGCCTTTCAGTAATTTATACCTAAGATCGACTCCGTTCCAAAACGACACAAAGTATCGTTTAACGTTTGGATTATCACCTCCGTGCATCCTGCAAGAAAACATTTGTTCATATGTAACATTGAAAAAATAAGTAAAGGACTCTAATAATTTCACAACAATCATGTTTACTGCTTACCTATAACCATCGTAGTCTACAATACAGAGAATTTCTGGGTATATTACATATGGCGCTTCTCGTTTTTCTCGAGTATGAAGTTCAAGTGATCTCTTTACCCGAGCATCAAGATCATCAATGGATCTCTTTCTCCGATATCTCTTGTTGAGTCGATCAGGCTCCATGTAAGCTGCGTAATAAATGAAAAAAAATCGAAATGGATTAAAATTTCATCGATATGATTGGCGAAGAAAGAGTTAAAAAACATCTCAAATACGACTCGCAACTCACCAAAATCGCTGTACATATCGTCCTCGTGGGATGCCGATCTTTTGTACACCACGTGGTGATCCGTCAATTCGTAATCGACGCTCCGCCTGTCCCTCGAAACCTTTGGCACTAGTCGCGTACTTTGCAAATGATCCATTTTACTCACTACATCCTTGAGCACGCGTGCGGGAATCGGTCGGATCACTAGATCTTCCCCTATGCTTCCGTCCTGCAAAAGAGGAAAATTGATTTTTTTGAGTAATTTTTCTCTATTATTTTTTCCTCCATTGCGAGCGCAGCTAGTTAAGAGCTATTTTCTCAACTAAATCAGCGAAGAAATCCAATCGATTAAGTTTAAATGCGAAACTTTCAACGCATTCGTTATATCTATACGAGCTCGGCTTGGTTATCGCTGGATAATCGCAAAACTCGAATGAATATAGTTCAATAGCCATAAATTACCCGGGGCCCCAGCGAGATAGTGCGCTTAGTTGGACGCAAGTTAAAAAGTCGGCAATTGGCGATAAATTTTCATGATTTTTGCAATCGCCGCCGCCTCAGCGCGCGAGACGGAGTTTTGAGTTGAAATCGACGGGACGATGTAGGTGCAGCAGCAGCAGCTGCATACAACACTATAACACACATTTATAGAGCCAATACGCGAGACGCATCGTCGCCGCCGTCGTCGTCGTCGTTGTCGTCGTCGTCATTGCAGTTGATGCATCGGTTAGATTAAAACGAGTAGTGAAAGCAAAAGGTCGCAGTACGGATAGCGTCTATGTATAAACGTATGTATATGAGCCAAACAACCGCTTTCACGGGTGTATGTGTATATGTATGTGTGTGCATGCTCGAGTGAGCTCTTACGTAATTTGAACCCGCGACCCAAATAGATTCGCACCGCCGCCGCCGCCGCCGCCACAGCTACGTACCAACATACGTAATTTTGACATTCATACGGACTGGCTCGTAAATTATTGTACAAGTGATGATCGCTCGCGGGACACGAGACATTATGATCGACGCGTCACAAATTCACCATCGCGTACGCGGCGCGACGAGTTGACGATCATCCTCGATTGCTCTTCAATTACGCCACTTCCGATCGATACACACGCGTACCTATGTACGTTGTGAGCGCGTACATAATCTGATAATAGGATTTTTTTTGAAGAATGAAGAAATCTTTCGATAAATTCAGCCGTTGTTTACAATCTTTTTAATTTAGCATTGAGGTTTGTCGTTGCTAAATGACAAATAGCGTATACGGTTCGTGCGAGGAGTGCAAGACGTGTCGTCTCGAGTGTGTCTGCCCATGAATATTTCAGCGAGTCTAAAAACGGTACCTGGGCTTTTTTTATTAACTGATTTTTGATTTAAGCGCGATTGTAAAATTGACCGCAGACGCGCTTTTATGCACGGTGTGTACGTGTTTCACGCGCTTGTTAATAAATCTAAATTTTTCGCAACGAGACTTGAAAAAAAACGAAAACGAAAGTTATGTTTATGTTGTCTGTCGGCGTTTAATGCTAATTTGAACAATAAAAATGGTTGAAATATCAATTTGGAAATGCAAGATATTCGAGACTAATTCTTTTATTTTTTTTCAAAACTAGCGAGCAGAAAAGTCGCAACGAAAAGGAAACCTTTTTTTTCCTCAAACGTATGCACGAGCAATAAGCACGAGAGATTTTTATCGCGAGTGACCTCAGCGTAATATCTTAAAACGAGAAATAATACACTTTCTATGGCGCACATGTACGAGGCACACTCACACACACACAAATAAATATATACGTAATTTCGCAAAGGCCTATTGTCTTCTTATCAATGGTCGTTTGACTCCGAAAGAGTTAGAAACAAAAGAAAAGGGGTAAAAAAAAGTACCGGCGATAAAACAGTGAAAAATATTTTCAATTCGAAGAAATTTTATGGCTATTGTAAATATTGAGCATTCAAACGTTGCACTAAAAATTCATCATTGTCGAACGTCAAACCTACAAGATCTTGAATCATTTACATACGATTGAGTTATTTAAAGCAGTACATTATTAATTGCTCTCAACAAGTCGGGAGTTTATTTTTAGGCAAAATTAACCGAACATTCCATCCGATCAAAACATATCGAAGCTTGGATCGACGCTCACAGATCGAAGGCTTCGGCAATGCGATTATTTGAAAACAATGAGACGACGCAAAAGACAAAGGGGGGCCTTATTGCGCTTCTATCGAGGATGTATTCCGCTCGCGTACGAGCACTATCACCGTTACTCAACAAAAGTTTATTGCTCGTGCGTCAATTGCGATCTTGAATGACTTCTCTATCGAGCTGTTTATAATAATTGACGAATTTATAATATTCGAGAGGTGCGAGAGACTCGCCGCTCGTGTACATTGCGGAAGTCGTCGTCGTCGCCGCTTGGTTAAGCCCGACTCGTACCTATATGTATAATAATGTAGTGCCAGGGACTCGTGAGTGGCGAAACGCGCGCCCGGCTTTATAATCCACGCGAGCGAATTATGAGAACTAGACTGCGCGCTTATCGCCATTTCTTATCTTCGCCCATTCTTGTACGTGTAGCCACCCTTTATGTACGAATATTCACATCTTTAACTACATTAATACACACACATACATACAACGGCATAGAGGCGGAAAGTAGGCGGGCCATTTTATCGAGAGAGAGAGAAAGAGCCCGAAATGCGTTGTGTATCAACAATATCGCGCCGCGATAAGGTGCGCACACGCGCGCGGAATAAAGGATGTAAAATCTTATATACACCGTCGAATCGCGCAAGCACAATCTTAACCGTTTGCTTTGTCTATTTTGTACAATTTTTTTTTCGCAATATTATTTTAATGCCGCTGTTACTAAATAATAAAAAAAACGAGAACCGAAACACGACGTTTGGGTCAAATTGAATGAATATATTATTGTGTACGTAAACCGAACTATTGTTTCACGCACACGCAACCGTTTACGCTCCGCGTTTAATAACCGGTAAATTATAAGTCTCGAGAAAATTTTCGAACACACACTTGGATTCGTATAAAATGTAAAAATCATTCGCATTATCGTCTAGTTACATGACGTCTTTTTTCTTATTATGATGAAAACGGGAGTAATTGAGCTGCTAATATTACCGTACTGAAGTTATTATCGCATTGGGTTTAAAGATCGCGCGCTCGAAAGCTCGAGACAGACACAACGTGTATATATCATATATATAGCTCTTCGTTGGATTGACTTATAAACTCTCGGGGAGATTTCAAACGTCGAATTGCACATAACTAAAAGGCTCTTAGATTCGCGCGCGCGCGAGGGGGGCATTAAAATCACGATAATGATGATAACGGGTTGTTCTGTGTAAGGATCTACACTAAAACTCGCGTTCGCACACAGGAGTGTACATATATAGCGTATACGAGGCTGGCTCGGATTGCCAAAAGCCTTTTATATATATATGTACGAGCGGAGCTGTATCTCAGAGGCTCTCGCGTATATACAGACACTCTTTTTATTAATAACGTGCACGCGCGCCGGAGTGAGAGTGAGTGAGAGAGTATAAGTATACGAGCGAGTGACGAAAGATGCCCGTTGAGTAAGAGCCTTATGCAGCTCTCCGCGTAAAAAGGATGTGTACAAAGTATACTTACGACGAGTAATCTGCCTTTGGAGTCTCGGTACAGCAGAACGGCGGCCATGTTATCCTCGTCTTGGTAAGCGTGGCCGATGTGTTCTCCCTACGGAGCATCGAGACAAAAATTATTAGTCGAGGGTCTTTTTTTTACACCACGGTCGATTCTTCGTGATATTGTATGTATATTTGACTCGAGAAATCTTTGCAACTCTATTAAGTTCGAGAAAATTAATCGATACTTTCTTCGCGGGCAGTGACTGCGGTAAGAGTTGTAAAAAAGTATACCGAGTGAAATTAAATTTTTACTTCGATTGTGGATAAAAGGAAAAGTTATTGCTCATCCGGATGCCTTGATCCGGAAAGACATTATTTTAAATTCTATTAGGCAAGATAATGATTTTAAACAGCGGGTAGAATCAAACTTTGAATATCATAAAACAAATACCTTTGTAGAAATGCTCAACATTAATAATGGCCTGCTGATCAAAAAACTGACCACTTAAAATGTTTTAAAATACTCTATTATTAACTAGCTACTTTTTTGACTTAACAGGCAAAATGGCACTATAACTGTTTTAAAAAATTCTGCCTAGTTTTCAACTACTTTAAAAACGATACTACCACTTTCTGCCACTAGATGGCGAGTATAATTATATGTGCAAATCTGCAAGTGGCAAAGACAAAATAATTGTATAAGTCAGAACTACTTCGATACAAACATCGAAACAAGCAACGTATGTAAAATTCTATTTAAAGAAGGATATGTTTATGGCCAATATTGGAATTATTATTTTCTTTTCAAGCTTTTATGAAAAATTGATAGGAAAACTCACATCAGCTACTCGCTCGAATCTCAAATCCGTTTCATTAATTATTTCCTTTCCGTCGTCATCGAGGGTCCAGACGGGCACGTGATCACCCTTCCAGAGCCTGTCGTTTTTATTCAAGGCTAAAGAAAATGTCTCGTTAAAGACCTTCATGTGAAGTGTTGCCGTCGTCTCATTTTCTCCCCGTTTGTGTAACAGTGGTATAACTTGATAATCTGGAACTAATTTAACAAGCAAATATATTAATGAGGAGAGTAAATAAAATTTTAAAAATAATTTATTTCTATGAAATATATTATTATTATACAACTTGTATAATCATAAGAAAACTTTTAATCGTACACGAAAACCGGAAAACTTTTTTTAAAAAGGGTTAAAATTTCCACCGTATAATATAAACCCGTTTAAGAATCATCAAAAACATGCGTTTCTTATCCGACGAGATCGGATTATAATTATAGAAATCATGTCATGGAGGCACTGGAGTGTAAAAATAAATCTGTTAAATATCACTGACAAAAAGAAGACGAGCGATCGGTCATTAAAGATTCGGAACTTTTTATTAAACGTATATTTTTCGAAGGACCACTTGACCGTTTATTATTTTTACCTCAAAAGCAAAAAAAAAGATCCGAAAACCGATACATATATTAAACCAACAGTTCCGGTAAATTCGAGCCTTAAAACGATTATAACAGTTCTCGTAACAGTCCGATTCACCTGCTGCTAAACGCCTACCATTTGATTCATGCGGTTCGTTCACTTATGACGAAAGCCTCGTTCATTCATCATATCGGAATCGGCAAATTCAAAAAAAAAAAAAAAAAAAAAAANAAAAAAAAAAAAAAAAAAAAAATCAATGGCAAGTGAGACTGTGATTTTATTTCAAATTATCGTTCGTTGCATTATTTTATGTTTTTTCTTCAAATCATGCCTTCGCTTTTATCTACATCGATCTCGAATTTTGCTCTATCACTCCTACATAACTATAAGGATGCATGATTGACCCCTACAGTCCATATAACTCGGGTAAAAATTATTTCATATCTGAGCATCGGATTGAGTCACGATCTGTCACATTGATGCATCAGCGCGGCTTTCCACTGGCTTTCGGCGAAATTTGATCGGCCGATGCGAGAACGAAAATCGTTACACGTATATACATTTATACACGGAAGAAAATCGTGCGCGCGAAGAAGATTCTCGGAGTGTAAGTACGTAGGCGCGCACTGCTGTACCCGAAATGTATTTACACACATTGCCGAGCTGGTAACATATATAATACGAGTCACGTCGCGTATCTAGATTTCGATGACCTCGTGTCGCTTTTTCACGACTTCCTTGTACAGTCCCTACTGGTATTACCCCTTTCACTCCTGGCGTAGGCGCACACGGTTTTGTCTCGTCTCTCGATGGTCTCTTATCTGATATACACTTATACACACGCGGTATCGTCTTCTTCCTTCGGCTTCGGATACGTATAGCGCACGACACTACTTAGATAATGCGCGCGGGTGTACGCGTTCAAAGGTTCCTTTTCATACGTACACACATAGAGCAGATAAACATTTACACGTACCCGAAAGGTTTCTTCGTGGAAAAGGACTCGAAATTTAATCGAAAATATTGTATACACATCGGCTTAATCTGCGCGTTATTTTCTTCTTTCTTTTATTTACAGCGCATGACGCGCAAGGCGTGCAATCCGCGGCCGAGTTCTCCGCTTTGAAACTTTTGTTTTGCAATCGTGGTGATACCGTCACGTCGAACGCTCATTTTTTCTTTCGCTGGCAGAGATTTGTTCCCTTTCCGAGTGTCGTAAACGAAATGTATCACGAATAATGGAGCGCAAGATAAATGCAACTGTACGAGAGAACAATTAAAATGACGTAAAAATTTTTAGATAATCCTAAAACAAAGCTCGATGTAAAAATTGTTGAGATGCTAATGTCTTTGAAAAAATTATTATCACATAAAAATGAGAGTTAAAAATTACGAGCTTATAAAATATTTATAATTAATGTTTTCCATTAGAAGATATTATCATAATTTGATGTCCAGACCGTAAATGCATGTGGCAGTAAAAAGTTGCAAGCTCAAATATAGAAACACGACGTCCAGCTACTCGTAACCCGTTGATGAAGTTCGTTACTTCATCCTGCGATCGTGTTATTTTCAGTTTTCCATAAAATATTTACAAGCCGGTTGACCAATATAATCGATAAACAAATTTCAACACAAAAATTCGTTAATCAACCACCGATGATACAGCGACTATTAACTTTTACAAACTAGTTTTGCGCATAAGTAGTGCCGTAGCCTTGACTCTTATTTTAGTTCAAAACAACTATTTAAAGCCTTTGCGTTATAAATAAGTCGATATTTAAATAAACACTCCATAAAAAAAAAATTATCTCAAAAATTAACAATTAAAATGTCCTTTAATACCACTTAGCTACTCGGCAACGCAAGCGGTATACTGATCAAAAAAACAAACAAACGCGCGCACGTACGCAGACTACGGTTGCTATATAGGTTATTGAAGTTGACAGTTAACTTCGATCGTCAAATAAAATGTAATTTTCAGAATACAATTGACGTAGAAAAAACATCGATGAAATAACTCATTGGATTTATGATTCACAAGGATGTAACTTACTGGAATTGTGGTCTGTATGAAACACCGATAGCACCTCCTCAGGGGTCATGTGATGGTGAATCTGTAAAAAAATTAATAATTAGTAATGATAAATAATTCAAAACTGAATTATGTAGTGTTAAATGAGAGTATTTTGATAAATTATCAGCTATTACATGGAAGAAGGGTTTCGTGTTCCCTGCTAATGGGTTCCGCATGGATTTGCATGTAATTCAATTATTTCTGTATCGAAACAAATTTATTCTAAATATGCGAGAATCAACACAGTCATCGTGAAAAATAAGCTAATTCAATTCAAACACGCGCGCGCGCAAGTTCGTGTATGTATGAAATATTGAATAGAAACTTTTGAGAGGTTTATAGCGTAACTTTACACACATTAGCATGAAATCGTATAAATAAGCGCTTATACAACATTCCCGCAGAAAGAGCAGAGATACTCGATAAATATCGTTCGCGATGCAAATAATGCGTGCACACAGACACACGCGGTGTGAAACTGCTACTGAAAATTGTCAAAACTACAAATACCGTCAATTGCAACGATTAATCGACGCTTGTGTTTAAAAAAAACTATGAATCAAGGCTGTTATTTTAGATAAATCGTAGGCACGAAATTGTCGCGTTGACTCTTTAAGATAATCATTAAAATAATTAAAGAGCGAGCACGCCGCGAGTAATTTAACTCGAAATTTCATCTCGTGAATCGCAGCGCTCAGCAGCTGCAGCACGTGCCTCGTAAACCATGCGCACGTCTTAGCTCTTTTCCCGCGAGTGCGAGTAAAATTGATGACACCGAGTCACGCGAAAACAATATACACCTCGTATAACTCGCGGCGGGCGTGTGTATACACAATGTAAAACGCCGGCTTACCACGACGATACATACAACGCTTATATAGGTATATAGTTCAGCACACCGTCGACGCGGGCAAGTCGACGCGAAAAGTAAAGAAAAAAGCAAAAAAAATTATCCGCTTCGGCTGAAAAAGCCCCGCGCGCGCGCGCCTGGCGTGGCGTTTCCCTTTCGTTTGACCGGGTTCCCTCTCTCGCTCGGCAGCAACAGTCGGCTCGCTAAGGTCGATCACTTTCACGCGCGTTCGAGCAGTCTGCAGCGCTGCAGAGATACGGTGGTACGCACGTTACGTCGTTTGTAAGTTTTATCCTGCACAGTAACGATACGAACGCGGCTCACACACACACACACAAATACACAGACTCACATGCTCGATCACGACTGTTTGATAAAGCGCACGCTTTTGCACGCCCGCGAATTGTATACTCCGGGACTTTGCGCTTGAGAAAGTAAATTCTTATTATAATTGTGCACGCACACGCGCGCCGCGTTTATATCCGCACACCCGATCGTTGCGCGGCCAGCAAAAGAAAGGTCCAAAAATTAGACCAAAACGAGACTAATGTGACATTCGGAAAGCTCGCCGATCGCCAATTAAAAAACCTCGAGCGCAGAAAAAATTACATCTGTATAATGTACGATCTTGTGTATTATACAGCTGCTGCTGCTGTTGCCGCTGAGCAAATTGCGCTCGTTGGCGATCTCGCGTTATTATTGAGCAACGACAACGGCTCGTCAGGCTATAATGTGCAAGTTGTGCATTGTTTTTTTTCCCTCGGCGCGATGAAAAAGTCGAGAGCGAGCGAGTGAGCGAAAGAGAGAGAGAGAGAGAATTCATAATCAACAAGATGCTGTTTACCCTTGGTTTATGAATGACTTGTACGAGAAATTCTTTGTCGACTTGTTACGCGCATTCCACATATACGTATGGTGACACTCGACCGCGAATGCACGACGCGTTTATTATTATCACACACACGCGGCAGATAATAATGTGCATTTTACAATATTGCTCGAATCGAAATTTTGCCGCCGTGGAATCTTACGATGTTTGGCCACCTCCACCACCACAAATGTGATTGAGCGTGAAAGTCGCGCAAAAAAATTTCGTGCGTCTATTTGCCCGGCCCGCAGATACTCCGCGTGTATGCGTATGTTTTTATTAATAATTGTAATCGTAATAAACGCGCACTCGCTGCCACGCAAAAGATAAATATTTACCATGAGATATTCCAAAGCTTGAATGAAGTCGCGTTCCGCGCGAAACGCGCACGATCCGCGGCGCAACAGCAGCCACCGCGCGACATTTTTCGAGCGTTCGTCACCTTCTTTAATTTCGAGCGCATATTTATTATATTATACGAGAGGTACGTAACGAAAGTAATGGATATATAATATCGCTGTCAGTCTACTTTATACGCGTACTTTATGTATACGCCTAAGTAAGCAAATTGTCGCGAGTCTCGAGGCACACGGGGGCCTCGAATTATCTTAATTGTCGCTTTTGCGCACACGTCGTACGATATATAACAACGCACGGCAGGGAAGAAGAAATGGGCGGAGGCGTCTCTGTACTCCGAGTCTGCAGCGCAGACGAGAGGCGCGTGCACCGTATTATATACATTATAATAATAAAGACATTGCGAATGTGCGTTGGCACGAGAGCTGTACGGAGCGGAAAAATAAATATGCCTGCTTTGCATTTTCACCGCGTGATTCAGCTATTGCCGGATTTTCAAGATGCTTAGAGCGCGATATCGTCGACTCGGTGTCTGAGAAAGAGAGCAGCAGCAGCAGCAGTAGTAGCGGCAGCGGAGAAGCAGCGGAAAATGCCTCTCTGCTGCTGCTTGGCGTCGCTATCTCTGCGAAAATATCGCGTAGGCGTAGCGATTGTGTATAATACACATGCGCGAGCGCGTACATCCCTAAAAACTTTTGTGCCTCGCTCCGCACGCAGCTACTGATTTCGTCTTGTACACACGCACGACGTATAAACCGTGCAACACTCGTATACTCCAAAGCCGAGAGACGGAGATTAAACTTGGCTCGTTGGAAGTTACTCTCTCGATTGGCAATTTCTTCGCAACGCGCGAATCAAACGCAGCAGTGGCAGCAGCAGCACTCGGTCTCGCTTCAAGGATACCCGGACGAGAGAGAGAGAATCGGACTTTGAGAGACACTCGTCGAAACAGCTCTCACTCTCGATCACGCAGGGATGCGATCCGAAGCCGAGGATGTAACGGTGCGCGATGATTAAAAATATATCGACACGCGCGCGCGATTGCAGCTCTCTTTGGGTGCACACACGCAGCAGCAGCACAACCGGTTCGCGTTGTGTAACGTATAAAACAAGTTGTTTAACGAAATTTGCGTTAAATTAGGATGCGCGCGAAAAGGAGAGCCGAGATCTTCGCCTCCTTTTTTTTTTTCGTTCATTCCGACCGATCGAGCAAATAAAGTCGAATGAGCGTGGCGCGCGCGGATCGGTTGCGAAATTGAACGGCGGTTGTTTTTTTCCTTCGCGCGCGCTCTAGCTGTGTTTATATATATATCGATTTTTTTTACTACTGCCTTTTTTTTATCCTCGTCGCGCTCTTCTACAATATAAAATCGACTTTCTATGCTCTGTAGCTATAGCTAGAGACTGCGCCGCCGTTTTTGAGCTAAAGCTGCTGCTGCAGCTCTGGTATGGCGTACGTGTGTATGTGTGTGTGTATATATTATATTGTGAAACGCGAGTATTTAGGTAAGATCAATTGCGCGAGAAGATTCTTGCTCGCGATATATACACACAGACACACAGATATACACACGGAGAGTCATTTCGATCGGCTTGCAGACACTTTACACATCCAATTCTATATGACGCCGAATTGCAACACGCTACACATATACATACGGGTACTCGTGCACCACGAGCGATCGTAATAACGAGGCATGTAATGTGCACAGGCTCTGAAGGGAGCAGCAGCAACAGCAGCAGCAGTAGCAGTGCCTCGAACTCCCGCGAGTCTCCGCGCGGCTGCAGCTGTACACAACTTTTCAATGTCACGCAACTAACTTATACAGATGTATGTTTCTCCGCGTGTAAAAGTTACGTACGCGTTAGCGATTAATAAAGATCGTTGCACTCGCGAGCCGCCGACGAGTCGATCGTGCGTCACGCACCACACAACAATTGCATTGTGAAGCATGTACTCGCGCGCCTTTGCATATATGGATTAATGCAAGCGCGTATTAGACGTATATGAGAATCAGCGAGTATAACAAGATTTATATATTAATCGCCTGACAATGAGCAGATCATTATTATTCTATAACGTATTGTACGGCTATGAATCCTTGGCGATTAGCGCGCGCGCGCGGCTTATAAATTGAATAATGCAGAGACGGCTGGACTCGCACGCGGATACGTGTCGAGGAGCGAGCTTATGCAACGGTTTTGCTCCAGTTTCTCTCTCTCTCTCTTTCTTTTCTTCCTCCGACGTTTTGCACTCGACTCTGTACTACTTTGCGTATAATGCCGCGTTCGTTTTTTTTATTTTATTTTATTTATATACATATAATTTTCGAACGAGATACCACATACCATATAACCCCCGCGGTAAAAACGAGAACGAGATTTGTAGAAATATTTATAGAAAACAACGGAGTTTTGACGCTGCGTGACAACCGATTTTACGGGCGATTATTCTTTCGGGCCAGTTAGTCGAGTATTTAAATCCAGACACGTGTATCTTGCGACTGTGAGTAGTAGAGGCGGCGTGGGATCGATTTCAGAGATATGTGTATCAAGTAGGTATAGGCCGCGCGCGACAACTTGTTCGTGTGTACAGGTATATGTGTAGATACACCGGTGTAGTGAACTAATATCATCGAACATATCGCGCGGCTTCTATGAGACTGTGTAACGTGGGTAGGAAAAATAGAAAAAAATGAGAGAGTACTCACCGCTGACGAGCTGTCCACTGCAGCCAGTGCTATGCACAATAAGATGCACAGACTTCCTGGCATCTTCCCGATTTCAATTCGCTGAAACAATAACGAGTTTCCGTTAGTTGATCACTTTTCACTGATAAATTTTCATAAATTTTAGTGTAAAAGAACATATTATCGGTAAAGAAATAATTTTTAATAGAATAAAGTGTCTAGATTTGGAATTACAATAGGTTGGTATAATATCATTTGACAATTTCCCTACATATCAATGAAACAAAATATCGAACCTCAGCTTTCGAAAGACTAAACCCAGTAAAAGGGTACAGTGAAATAGAAACGACGTTGAATTACTCAGAATATAATAAAATAAAAGTGATAAAAAGCACCAACGCTGTTACTACACCAAATCTATAATGCTTGCTTATTACAGAAAAAATTTCTAGAACCATGTAAATTTAAAATATTTAAAAAAAAATCTAGAGTAGTTTCAAAAACATGTAGAAATACTTTTTAGTACAGTGCACTATTTACGAGTATGACGATACTGATAAAAACATTTCAAGACAAGTCTCGATCGCATGTACGAAAAATTAAAAGCTTTTTTTGCGAAATCGCCTAGTTATACAGAAATCTCTTATCGAAATTCGAGAAAAAAAAAACAGCTCGATCCATCACGTATGCATTTCACTAGTCGTCGTCCTTAGGTTAATGATAATTCGCGTGAATTTTCAGTTGAAAGGTCGGTCACGTACGTCAATGATATAATTCGACAAGTCGTATCGTCGGTGAAAAAAAAATTGGTGCCTGCAATAATGGGCCCCTCCGGCGTCGTTGTATGTTTGCATAGCCACTAGGTATATGATTTTTTTTAAAAGCATCGACTAAGAAACTCCTTTCGGAGAAAAAGTCTGTCACCAAATATTATCGGTATACCACTGAGACCATCGCTGATTACGAAGAATTTAAATTTGAAGGAAATTCACGAGAAACGACTGATACATAAATTTTAATCGCAAGATTTCGTGGCGAACCGAAAAACTAAGAGTTACCAAGCCGAGTCGGAAAAATGGAAAAACATCGTTTTTAAAAAACGATAATACGTACCATTGTAAAAAAATTTAAATCCTAATTAATTAAATTAATGGTAGTAACTATCGATCTTATAACACTAATCACTAATCACTAACAAGCACTAATCGCAGTTCAGCAACATATTTCGATAGGAACACACTCTCAATTTCGTTAAACTCCAATATATGTATATAAAACGATATATGTGCAGCTAGGTATCGAAAATCGAGTTCACTAATAAGTCGGACTATGGCAAGAGAGGATCGACCTGTTCGTCAGAGCAGTCGATCAATGAATGATGCTCACGTATTTCTCACTCGGGTATTTATGGCCAAGATGCGAAACCAGTCATCGGCATCATCATGATCATCATCATCATCATCTTTGTCGTCATATTGCGCGCGGCCAATACCCGGCTTGTCAGTCCTCCTCGTGTGTATGTACATGTGTGTGCGCGCAAAAAAGTGGCCGGGAGTGGGGCATCGGACGCACGCGAGTCGATTCATTGTTCACACTTCTTCGTTTGCCACCGCGAGAGAGAGAGACGGACAGAGACAGAAGCAAAACGTTTAATGCCCCCACGATATAGGTAATTGCTCTCGTCGTCGTCGTCGTCGTCGTCGTCGTCGCCGCCGCCGCTGCCGCGGCAACAGCAGCAGCAGAGAAGAGAAGAGAGGAGTTAATGGCCCGAGTTTATAGTGCACGAGCCGCAGTCGCGTGTCACCTGTCCATCGACGCGGTGCTCTCGAGGAAGCGTACATTATATGTATTATCGAGCTCCTTATCACGCTCGCGGTTCGTGTCGTAGAATGTACAATATTACGATGAGTTACCGCGGATTTTTTGGTCTCTCTCTCTCTTTCAACGGCGATAAGAATCTCCTAATATTATTAATATACATGTATACAGGCCTCGTCACTCGCTCGGTACACATTATTATTTTACAGTCGCACCGACTCATCGTCTGTCTTACGCGGCTTTGTTTTTCTTTTCTTCTCTCTTTCTTTTTTTGCGTGGGTGTGATTTATGACACAACGCGACAAGTGCGCGGCTTTGCGCGAGTACGCGTCGCTGAGCAACTTTGCAATGAATAATATGCCGCTTGCGCGCACATATACATGTAAAACTATCTCGAAGGCGCGGTAAAAGTGCGAAAAGATATTTTTTCGCGGCTGCTCCCGGTTTTCGACCATCTAGCTTTGTGTTTGTGTATGTTTGCGCGTATGTGTGTGTTTCAACGAGAGTAGCAATTCGTGACAGTTTGGCGTTACGATACGATTAATCGATGCCGAGATCATCGAGCCGATTCAGGACAATGACTTCATTTTCTCGTGTCTCTTATAATTTTATCCTTTCGATTCGATTATAAATATCTTGTATTCGTCAGTGTTTGTGTATGATAAGTAATTTGTTTGCGAGTAAATAGCAAATGTTTTTTTCCCAGAACGCGACACGTGACTTGACGCCGAATTTTTGCGTGTATAAAATAGAATGTCGCGACCGGACGTCGACGATTTGTCAAACAATATAATACATTCGGCGTTAAATTTATGAAGATAGGCTCGCGAATGATGAATATCGTACAACTTTTTAACGAATTTTAACGGATTCGTGATCGATCGTAATCGATCGATACGGACGACGCGAAAAAATGTCCCCCGTCGAAAAAAAAAACAGAAAAAAAATATTAAAATAGGCAAATCCTGATCGTTTAATCGGTCGATTAACCTCATCGCGTATATCGGCTCTCGATTTCGTTCGCCGCGCAGACTGCGTGCGTGCACTGCACTGCTACAACTCGCTCGCTGGCTCGCGGGAGAGCGATGTGAAAACCTTGAGATTGCGTAAGGTTTTTGTCACACCTGATCGACCGTAAGCCAGCAGCAGCAGCAGCAGCCGAGCGAGATCGCAACGCGGCGGCGACACGCGTATCTATATAACGTATAGATACACATTGGAAAGTACCCCGCGGACTTTGGTATATAATTGGATTATAAGCGAGGAACAAAAGCAGCAGCAGCGGTGTGTACATAATGTAATACAAAAGGGCGCACCGGTACCCTCTGTACACAATGTATGTACAACGATAATAACGTGTGTGTGTGTGTGTGTGTGTGTGTGTGTGTGTGTGTGTGTGTGATTTGGCAATTCTCGAGTCCAAAATCGTTCGCTTCTTTTTTGTATGTATACGTTTTGCGCGCGTAATTGCTGCCGTTTGCGACCAGCAAGTAGTCGTTGCTCCGTGTGTATTCGCGTAATTTTACACGGCCGCGGTTAGTGTGTGCGCACGCAAAAGCGCTGGGGCCGCGCAAACCGTAGAGATACAGATCCCCCAAAAGAAAGTGAAAGTATTTCGCCCAACGTGTATCATTGTTTAATTAACGATCTCGACGATTATCATTCCGAAATTGATACATTTTTATTCGCGCTCAAACAATGAGTCCTCGAGCGGCAGCAATGCGACGATAAGAATTCCGTTGATATAAACGTCAAATATTCCTCTCTAACGATCTACGCGTCTCTTTCCTCACTCTCACTCGCGCGCGGCGCGTGTGTGTAAATAAATCGTTGACTGCACTGGTACAAGTATGCACGATTGCGTTCGTACACGCGTCGTGCGTGTGCGAAGCAGAGGAAGCCAAATCGACCAGCACGAAACGTCCCAGTTTCCCAACTCGATTTTCGCGATCGCGCGTCAATTTCATATATTTAATAATTCGGGGTCATGCACATACGAGAGTCGAGCAGTGCACTAAACAACGCAAAGTCATCGTATTCCACGCGCGTATCGACTATTAAAAGGAGTGCGTGTACGAATATACATAGATGCATGCGAGCGATGCATAATAACAGTTTTATTAGCGCTAATAAAAAAAAAATCGCTTCTATTTCATGAACGGCATTTGTCGATGGCATAAATAAACACTGTTTTTTAATGATAACCAGCCGCCGCGGCGGAGAATCGAATACGAGGAATAGCAACGGGAGCTGTTTTGCAACTGAAATATATAATTTGCTATATATATTATATATACATCTATACGCGTGCGTTTCGTTAATTACGCGCGTACAAATAATTACAATTCCAAGCGATACTTTTTTCCCTATTTTTTTTACTCTTTTTTAAGTATGTAATTGCTTAATGTCGATATCGTAACACCACGATTGTCATGGTATAAAAAAAAAATTTTCTAGAGTAACTATCATAATCCACGATCGTTATCGTCATCGTGATATTGTATACTTACAAAATTTTCGTCGATAACAATAGTGAACTCTTTCGGTGAATCGGGTTAAAAGTAACCTCGATCGAGCGACGAATTTTCCTTTATCGTGCGCGTGTGTATATGGCAAATCACGCACTTTTCATACATGTGACGCACTTTTTACGAAAATTAAGCAGCGATGCACACTTTATTAAACGATCGTAGTATACCGATTTTACCGATTTATAGAAACTAAAACTTATTTGCTTGACTAGTCGGCCTGGGGCACCGGTCCACACAAGCCCTTCTTGCAGACGAAGTGAAAAATCACTCAATTTTCACTGTGTATTACAGAGCCTCCTCTCGTTCTATCTATCTCTCTCTTTTTACTGGAATGGCACACAAGCGATCCGATACCGATCTGCGCACGATCGTTAACTATCGATTATTTCTCGAGATAAGCGACATTCTCTCTCTCCTCCTCCTTCTCGAACCAGCTCGATTTTCTCGAGATACAAGAGAAAATCGGCCCTAGAATTTCCGGTATCGGTGGAAAAAAAAATTGAAATAAAATCGGTATACGTATGATATACCTCTTATAAAGGCGCGCGCGCGCGCGCACCGCTCAAAACGTTGAGAAACGCGGGCCGCCGCAATGACAATATTTATATACGCTCGCGTGCATGTGCGCGTGTGTGTGTATACGCAGGCTCGTTTTCGATCTGCTCGTTATGTATAGCAGCCGCAGTATAAGTAATATTATGTGTACACACGAAACGAGCTGAAAGAGAGAGCGAAGAGAGCGTGTCTGTCAGTCCCCGTGTTGTACGCACGCACTCTACTCCCGTCGCTGACGGCGACCACAACCACGACCACGACGACGACGACGTCGAGGAGAGATACGAGCTCGTCGAGAGTCGGCAAACTACTGCTGCGACGGACTCAAATGTATATTGTTGAGAGAGAGAAAGAGTCACACACACACACACACAAACACTGCCGAGGGAACGATCTCCACAGGCCGCGCGAGCCGATCGAGAACTGCGCTGCTGCCGCCGCTGACTGCAGCACAAAACACACACACACACAGCAGCAACGTCGTCGCGCGTTGGTTTCTCGAGATCGGTAGTAGTAGTATTATATATAAGACTGTGAGTCGCACAGGCCTATATATTTCGCATGGCTACATAGTGTAGCATATACATTCGCAGCTTGGGTAAAAAGAGAGAGGAGTGGGTTGAGTCGCTGCTGCTGCTGTTGCTTGTGCTTGTGCTTATGCCTGGCCGTTGCTGCTTATGCCGCTGCTACCTCGCGCGCAGCAGCAGCGAATTGCTTCATCCTTACAGAATATTGTAGTGTAATACCACGGCCAGGTGCCGCCGACTGAGCCCGTGTATATAGTGCTTAGATGACGCACCGCACCAGCTACTACTACTACTATTTTCCACGCGTGCCTATGTGTGTATATAATACAGTGTCATACTTCAATGAGCGCGTGTATTATGATGAACGCTAATTACTCGCGGCTGGGCCCGTCTGCCGCGAGCCGCCGCGCACAGACGATATTGCAAATATCGCGACGGGGCCGACCTTTTTCTCTCTCTCTCTTTCTTTTCTTTTTTCTTTTCTGCGCGACGCGCGGCTTCTTAACGTCATGAAATTCGACAAATTGTTTGCCAATTTTTTTTCACGCGATAAGCCTATGCTTCGTGTCTTTCGTCACGTCGCAGGGGCACGTCGACGACGACAACGACGACGAAACGATCCTTGACGAGGTCGATGTGTGTATTCGATAGCTAGAAAGAATCGCAAATGTTTAAACATCCCAGATGTAACCAATAATTGTATCGCAATTATCCTCATTTTCATAGGATATTGTTATGCCGACTAAAATTATAAGAGTTAGCAAATCACCTCGTACACCTGATTCTATGTATGAAAACTTTTGAGTAATATAATCACAATCGCACCCGACACTTTCACTCTTACATGAATGCGATCTTTTTTTTCCATCACAATTATGTCTCACAATTAAATCAATTAGGTTTTAAGTCGATATAAAGCGGCACTTTTTGCAAACACTTCCTTGGACTTTTTTCTTTAGTGGAACGCATCGATCTAATGTAATAATTTCCGAATATTTTTATGCCTTTTTTTAAATTTTCATGATATTTTGAAGAACCTCTACGTTGATCAGGATAAAACCAACGTTATATGGGTTGTATACATTACATATCAATTCCGAAACATATTATCCGAAACATATTATTTAATTCGAAAACTCACTTCTATTTATACAATTATTTTATCTGTGGTACTTGCAGATTCATACGGGAGGGTACTCGCCATCTAGTGTCAGAGACTGACATTAATTATCATTTAATTTTCATGCATTTTTGAACCAATGATGTAAAAACTAAATCAGTATCAAAACAATAATTACAATTGAAATATTTCAGTTTCAGATTAGATTTACATTTTTCCGTTCTTTTTTGCATGATAATGCATTTGATGGTTTTTTCCGAATTTTTCGTGCACTTTATATAAAAAAAACCAATTATTACTTTTTCATCATTCTCAACGTAGCTTTCATGTAAAAGTACGTTGAATAAATGTCAATATCGGTTACTTTAATTTTAATGTCTGATTTTACATTAATCTGCATTAAATTTAAGGTTTTTTTAGTACAGCCTTTACAATAAATCGATCATTGACAGTTAACCTCTACCAAGTTGAGTAATTTTTTTTATCGCCGATGCAACTTGCTTTCGTTAATGAGAAAAAAAAACAAAACAAATGGCACGAAAAAATAAGTGAAATTCTATTTGCCATATAAAGAATAAGCGGCGTGCAATTGTGCACCTCCCTTTTTTCTTTCTTTGACAAAAATAATTTATCGCTTGGCCTTACGTAAGTTTAAGTTCAGAACCGGGCTTTAGATTATATACGTATTATAATATAGCACATACACACACACAAGAGTTCGAACGCGCGCACCCCGACCGATTGTGCAACGTATAGCCAAGAGAGAGAGAGAGAAAAGAGCACGCGCCATGTCCGGCGAATATAAACCTGCATATAATCGCTTTTCACTCTCGGTCTGGGACCATGTAGATATAGGCGGGCTAATTGGAATCGGAGTTCGGAGTTGGTAAATATATATCGCGGGCCTCGATCGTTGGCTTTTTCCCACCGCAGAATGTGTATTAGTCGTCGCAGCGAAGCACGCCATGTACAGTAGTGAGGCCTATAGTAGTTGGTAGTAGTTACTCTACTACACGCAGAGACCAAACAGTCCACGAGCAACTTCTTGTTGTGTTTTTTTTTTCGTAACTTTGAACTTCTTTTTCCAAGACGATTTTTCAATGTCAAATTTACATGTTTAATCCAATGAATTATGCTGAGTACTTGTCATATGGAGTGTTAATGAACTCATTAGCGGCATTTTTTTTTATGAAGCGAGAGATTTGCAAACCGCGAAAAAAACAATAAAATATTCCGCGGACAAGTTATCATATTCGCGCGCGGAATATTACTACAGGCCGGTATACTAAAAAGTAAATATTTAAAAAATTCGCGTGCGCGCTATCGGCTACTGGGTCAATTGTGTACTCTCATTGAATAACCTAATAACTCTCGAAAAAAAAACCAAAAGCCTCAAAATGTGCTAATGTCTTACGTAACAGGGTATTAATGAAACGAGTTTTTAGGTGATATGCATTTAATAAGTTTCTGGTGATTATCCGAGATTAAAACTACGCGTGATTAGACACGTAAGAGTGAAAAGATGATTTTTTTTTAATTTTCAACAAATTTCAAATCTTAGAAGTAAAAAGATCGGTCATGTATGTATTACACATCTTAGTCTAAAAAACTTCGCATGACTCAAAATACTTCATGATGTAGCAGGGTAAAACGTGTAAAAATATCGAGGAGCGCACCAGCGCTTTATTATTAATACTGATATGATGCATGGTATCATATCACCCGAAGCGATCGAGCTATTTTTAAACCGAAAAAATTGTTTTTCATGTTTTTTTTTTTCCAATTGATATTATTTTGGAAACACGTGCCAGACCGCGTAGCATTGAATTTTGTGTATATTAAATTTTGTGTACCTGTTCGTTCGTGTTCATCTACTTTTTGCGTGATCAATTTTTGGGGAAAAAAAAAATTATTAATTAAATTCGTGCACATAAATCCTGAAATTTGCTACACATACACGTGTACGCGCGAGAAAATAATAATTATGGATAAAGGAAGTGAGCACAGGTATAACGTGACTTGTAAAAAATTTTATATTCGCAGACGATACGTGATTTTTTTTTATACAGTACTCTTCCAGAATCATGGCAACGGGCGAGATTTTCAGATTTGCTTCGTTCTCTCACTCTCGATTCCACTCGAAAAGAGACACCATAGCTCGCGCTCAAAAATAAAATGTTGTAAACGGATCTAAAGTTTCGAGAGCATTTTCTTGTCTTGCGGTCGACATTACACTCAATTAAGAGGGATATTATTATATGGCTCGTCTTCGCTCACCTGGCAGCATATGGTAGCGATCAATTATTCCGCGATTTTTTATGAATTTAAAAAGCAGATCGGTTCTTAGTCATATAAAGTATATACCTGGCGGCTGCCGCGCGCGAGCGGCATCCGTTAATATTCATCATACGTCGCATTTGGAGCAATATTCATACCATTATGAGGTATACATTATCATTATTTATTCTTCGATGACAATAAATAATGCGATTACATTAATCATGACTCATACCTTTTTTTCCAATAAAATTCAGATCATCAGCAGCAGCAGCAGATTTCGAATGAACTTGGCCAGAAAAAAAACCTTAAATCCACATTAATTTTCGCGGTGTATAATATGCAACACAGCGTGTGTGTGATGTGTGACTCATCTTTCGTGCAAGATTTTGCAGGCAACACTAATACTACTTTCCTATACATAGCCAGACAGACGCGTTAAACTGCTCGCGCGCTTTTTTCTTCAAAGTCGACCCGCCGACCGCTACCCCCTTCGGACAGTGTGTCGAATGTTACTTCAACAATCAATCGGACACGGCGCGCTGCCGAGCGCGCGCACACATTATGCCCACACATCCAATGCACCAATAAGATAATTATACATTTGCATGATTTAAAATTGGTTCAACGCGGCGTTCCAATTAACTGCACATAATTACAATTTAATTCAATCGGCCGCTGCTGCTGCTGCGCAGAGCGCGTGGGGCTATTATCTCGCGTATTTTAACAAGGTGCATAAATATATTCGCGCGGCAATAAAATAAAAGTCCTCTGTGCGCGCGCGAGGCACCTTGGCGATAGCCTACAGCGTCCCGAACTATATAGCTGAGCCACACACACAACGCGTCAAATCCGTCCGCGGCTCTAATATACATTATGTAAAATGGTAAATGGTGCAATATTAAACGGTTCAATAACAAGACTTTGAGAGGCTGCTGCTGCTGCGTGCAAATGAAGAAGCTGGCAGCGATAATTATGAAAATCACTTCTAATTTGAGTGGCTTCAAAGTCAGAGAGGCAGACGAGGCAGCAGCAGCCACAACAACGGCAGCAGTGACTTTGGGAACTTGAACTTTTTAGTATATATTATATATGTAACGCAGCGGCTGGCAGGTGAAAAAGTGATAATTGAGAGTCTCCTTGGCCTTGACGGGTGTGAGAAAAAAAAGGATGGGTGCATACGTACGAGCGAAGAATGAAAACATTGTTGCATTTCGCTTTCTACGTGTATACGCCTGCAGGCGGTGCAGGAGTGTTCTTATACGTACGCGATATTGTGAGAGACCTTCGAGGATGAGACTTTGCGTTGTGAGGACGTATATCCAGTTCTTATAAGAGGATGAGCGCAACTCGAACGCCCAGGATATTTTTTTCGCGACCGCAAGTGTGGATAAGACGTTTAATATACCACGTGCGATGGAAAGTACCCGAGAGCTTTAATATAGTATTTT